AACATTTCGCAACGAAACTTTGGAATATTACTAATTTTGTGGTGCTCTTTCAAGCTGTGATGAAATTTTTGTCTAGACTTGTTTAGATCAAAATTTAGTCTAAAATGCAAATGCTCGAAGATATTAGCTCATTGTTTGAGCTACTCTGTAAATTCGAGTTAAAATAAAGTGTATGTATGTATGTATGTATGTATGTATGTATGTATGTACAGTATGTATGTCCATTCTAAAGAATTTTAATTAGACTCTTTTGAACACCAACATGGCCGCCATGGCTTTTGTTGAGTTGGTCCCTGGAGAATGAGTGCAAACGCTCTATAGTCGCTTGATCTCTGTGATGTACTGACATAAAAACTAACAAACTAAAGCCAGGGTGGAACGAGGATGAGATTCGGAGTCACGCGACCATGGTTAGCTGTTCTTAATGCTTTCCCAACACTATCATGTATTCTATTGAAGTTGTTGGAACAATCATAAAACTTTTATTTTGTTAATCTAGAGCTTGAAATGTCCCCTGTAATAATGCGTGACTACAAACTCTCATCCTCGTTTAAACGTGGTTTTTTCCACTCATCACAAAAATCAACTCGCAAGCTCTTGCGAGTGTTTGCATCTAATTAAAACAAAGTGTCAAGCATTGGATGAAAGAACTGGCAGCGAGTTGTCTCTTGTGATGAATGGGAAAAAGTTTTAAAGGAAAGCTCCATCAGTTTTAAATTGTTCTCCCTGCAGGTCCAGCAAAGTTAGTAGTACCTTATTGGTGCAAAGTTTTTAAATAAGGAAATCTATACTACATAGCTCCATCCGTCGTCTAAAATGGTCCACTTATTCTGGCAAAGCTCTGAGTAAAGCCATTCCTTACTGCTATATATTGTTACTAAACTAAAATAACTTTATATTAATACTGTATAGCATTATGAATAGTAGATTGTTCTCGCTGGCGCTCCAGAAAAGGTCCCTCGTGGCTCAGTATTACTGAGAAAAAATCCTAAACAAAACTAACTTTATTTATACTACATAGCTCAACCTTGGCCACATGCAGAGGTGTTGAGAAAGGCACATATACCGACCGCTGTGCCGAAACAGATAGTTCATACTTACGGTATTAAATCGATAGTAAACAAGATGTTTCAAGTCTTTGCACATTCTGATCTGTCTCATCAACTTGTATTTATAACGATACATGCCAGTCAGTTGACCAACGTGAGCAAACACGTACTGTAGACCATCTGCAAGCTGGAGAAAATAAAAATATTCTACTTGCACTGAGTCGTCTCCTGTCGCTCATCCCACATCGAACAATGAGAATACGTTTTATAGTTCATTGATACAGACAGACTGTGTCTTATCCAGGGGCGTATGAAACTGGGGACAGGGGCATGTGCCCCTTAATTTGTTCGCGCCTTTTTGTGATGAAAAGTGCATGCCCTTTTTGTACAAGCTAATGTTGTTGTAAATACTATATTAACATCGAAGGTGCCCTTTTTGTGAAAAAATTTCGATGTTTTTTTAAAAAAATTTGGTCAAAAACCAAATTATTATATTAATCAAGCATGAAATGTGGTATGACGTAATTTTTCATTTTAAGTTAAATCCTTTCATAATTTAAAAAATACTACTTGAAGAATTGCTAGAACCAAAAATAAATATCGAAACTTTCCATGTTTATCATGTTGTCACCCCCACCCCCACATCTTGTCCCCCCACAACACCTTGTCCCCCACCACACCGTGTCCCCCACCACCACGCCTTGTCCCCCACATCCACCACTTTGAGAGCCCTGCTTGTTAGAATTCCACGAGTAACCTGATATCGAGATATACCGAAATCTCACCTGATAACAGTCGACGTTGCCCAAGCGATACTGCACGTGAGAATCAACAACCAATTTTGTCAACCTCAATATCTCACGACACAAATGAAACGCATTACCAAAACGAGATTTCTTTCTTTCCTTCGTGGTCAGAGTCTTGACTGGCTTCAGATTAAAGTTGTAATCCAAATGCAAGTAGTTCAAATTCTTACGATGAATCAACAAGTTTAACATGTTATAACCCTGGCGGCAAACCTGCAGACCAGCTTCGACCCAATCCAGTGTGGTGGTTTGGAAGAATTTTGTCGACTTGAACGATCGGAATAGGTAGCTAGAAAATTTACAATATTAACACTTTTACAACAGACAAACTAACCAAACAAATTATTACATAGGAAAGACTGAAGGCCATCTGAAATACCCATATGGGCTAGACAAGTCAGATGAATTTTAACAGTGTAAGTATATATTTTTAAAGCTTGCTTGTACTCTATCGCTTACCGTTTCTTCTGTGCTTTTGGTGGTCGGTGTTTCAATGCGTTTAAAACGAAACACTTGAGCAGTTTTTGATAGGAAACTCTCACTTTCACAGGATGATTTGCTGGACAATGTTCTTGGTACCTAGAAGATAATACCAAAAATGTTAAAAAATATTTACGCTCCGGTCAAACTTCGCGAGAGTTTTCATCCACTTTCATCGACTCTCGTCAACTTTGAGCCTGATCAATTCTCATGCAACTCTTGTTCTCGTTTGACCGGGGCATGAGAATTGAGAAAACTCTCATGCAAACTCTCGCTTCTCAACTCTCATCAACTCTCATTCTAGTTTATAATATCCAGTCAACTCTCATGCAACTCTTGTTCTCGTTTGACCGGGGCATGAGAGTAGAGAAAACTCTCATGCAAACTCTCGCTTCTCAACTCTCCAGGGCTTAAGACTGATGGTCTATTAAACGGATGAAGTGTCTTGAACGGTGGTCGGTCCAGGCTGTCATTATAATATTTTATTCTCCTGCCTACCATGAATTAACAAGTGGAATATCCAAAGCTCTTCGTGTTCGTCCCGCCCGCATGTTGAATGGTCTGGGGGCCCACAATAAGGCAATACCTAATAACGAAAATTATGTGTTAGGGCGGTCCCGTGGTGACGTTTGTTTCGATAGAATGTTGTTGAAGAAATGTCATAGAAATTCAGGGTTCGTACATGTCAGGCAGAATCAAATTCAAGGACTTTTTAAGAACATTCAAGGACTTTTTAAGGACATTCAAGGACTTTTTAAGGACTTTAGGACATTCAAGGACTTTTTAAGAACATTCAAGGACTTAGTTAAGACATTCAAGGACTTTTTAAGGACATTCAAGGACTTTTTAAGGACATTCAGGGACTTTTTAAGAACATTCAAGGACTTTTTAAGAACATTCAAGGACTTTTTAAGAACATTAAAGGACTTTTTAAGGACATTCAAGGTTTTAAGGACATTCAAGGCCCATGTATCAGCAAATTCAAGGACTAAATAATGAAGAGAAGGCGTTAGGAATCGGCCTTTTTAAGGACATTCAAGGCCATGTATCAGCAAATTCAAGGACTAAATAATGAAGAGAAGGCGTTAGGAATCGGCAAAATGCGACGTTGAATTGTTCAAAACGTAACTTTAATGAATTTCAAACAGCTTTGTCAGATATGAACATGCAAAATCAACTCAACAAAATGTCCGTTTTTGAATGTCAAACAATTTTAGAAAATATCTATAAACTAAAGCAAGAACAATTCAAGGACTCTCAAGTACTTCTTTACAAACTCCAGGACATTCAAGGCCTTGAATTTTTGTTTTCAAATTCAAGGACATTTTGCACGAACCCTGGTAGATTTAAAAATACCATTTGCAGTGTTGTCCGAGTATAACGGTGTATCTTGCAGGAATGGCTGGAAATCGCCGGGTAATTCAAAGTTCTCGTCTTCTTCAGGTAAAGGTTCAGCGCTCTGAGAAAATTAGAAAAAAAAATCACAATAGTTTTTTGTCAGTTTGAATTTTTATATTCAAATTTCAAAATTTGAAAATAAATTCAATAAAATGTAGCAATTCAATTTAACAATGCGCTTCAACAATATTACGATGTTGAAAGGAATTTCAAGTTTACAAAATATAGTACTTTCTAATTAAATAATACTTTTTGCATGAGTAACAGATTGGCAAGAGATTGTGTTTTTGTTGCAAAAATGAAAGAGAAATTATTCAGATAAATGTGGCAAAATTATCAGCACCCCCTCCTTGCACCCCTGTTGACCAAGGCCACACTCCTGTGCACCCCTCTATAAATCCACCACTGTGTTCAACTACCCACCTTGACTGCATGTCGATGTGATATTGGATTGACTAAAGGATCAAAATAGAACGCGGGTAAATCTGGATCTTCTGTCTTGATGTACACCACGGTTGGATAATGATACCTGGGAACATTAATGTATTTTTAGGGGTACAATTACTTCAAACTCGGATGACCAGTATGGATATATCATTGCAATGCAGCCAAAATTTAACGACAAATTTTGATTATAAAAAGCTCGCCCACTTGCATACATTATCTTCAATCTGGTTAGTATATTATGTAAATTAGTTGGTCCTGTCGAGTACCATAAATCACGCTAAATTTATCCACAAGAAAACACAAGTACCCTAATAACGAATTCCTAACTATCCCTAGAGATACACAGGAAGCCAAGAACATTCTGCCAAGAGCGTTCTGTGCTGGTGTGGAAATCAATGTCAGCGGTCAGCGAGCAAGATAGCGGTAATTTTTTTGCTCTGTGATGTTATGTTACAATCCAAATCAATCCTACGTTAAAATCAAGTTTTTTTTATTTTTTACTAATATCTAATGTGTTAATAAGTCTTATGGCTGATCCTATGGTAGATATGAAAAGCTTGGAGGAGCTTTTTGATTGCAAATTGAGACCTTTGTTTGACAAGTTTGACAATTTGAATTTAAGAGTTGACGAAGCTAAAAAGCATTGTTAGCTGTAAGACTGTAGAAGCAGAACTAATGATTTCTCCGATCATCGTTCTTGCGCAATTTCAATCTGATTTCTTTCGCCAGTACATCAAACAATGCTACAAGATCTTTCGTAGCACGTCCCCGAAAGTATTGGCTTGACCACCTGGTAAATTGGTCAAAGTTTTCTTGCAAACTGTTAACGCTTTTGACAAATGTGGCATTCAGATGATTAGCATACTCTTTAGGGCGTTAGCTACAGACACAAATAAATTCGGCGTTAACGCCGTTTTCACAATTACGTTTAAAGCCTGTTTTCCACTAGTGAATTTGTTCGCGCGAATCTTTTGTCTTATGAGCTCTCGGCTGGAACTAATTAAATCTTTAATCAATTCTTTTCAATTTAAACAATAGTAATTCGCTTCGCGCGAGGAAATTCGCGAGTGGAAAACCGGCTTAAGGTCCAGACACACCAGACGCGATTCGACAACACGACGCGATTTTTTAGTTTTTGAAAGTTAATAAAACTGCCAATGAGAGCAAATTTTGAAAGATATGTAGACCAAATAACTCAAAATGTTATAGCGCTTCTAAAAATTTGGAAAATTCAAACTAGGATCAAAGTTATCGGTCAGTGAAAATCGAAAAATCGCGTCGCGTTGTCGAATCGCGTCCGGTGTGTCGACAATGTGGCGTGATTTTTCAGATTTTCCACCAATGACAACGCTCAGAACAGAACGTCAGAAAATAGACCTTATGCATAATGACGTCACAAGACTTGATGCCCGCAAGGAATGCTGGTCTTAGTAGTCATCGCCTGGGAAAATTTCGATGATGGCCATTTTGAATTGTTGAATTTTCCCGGGCGATGACTACTAAGAACAGCATTCCTCGCGGGCATCAAGCCTTGTGACGTCATTATGCATAAGGTCTATTAAATCAGGAAATGTGAAAGGACGTTTCTCTGTATTGGAATACCGCAACAGCCGATAGGAACATTGCCAATTCCCTCAAGGGATTTTTGTAAAGAATTTTTCAAATTTGCGAAGGCAATGAGGAAAATTGCAATGAAGTTAGGAACTCGAAAGAGGAACGCTTGACGTGGTTCACCTGTAAGGGAGTTAAACTAGATACAATCATGATACTAGGACCTACCACAAGAGATGAACTTTAAACGGCAAACTGTTGTACAAATATGGAAACGCGATACGATACTCCGTTCTGACTGGCTGTCGTATGATGATCTTGTTGATATCATTAAATTCGTTCCAATCCTCGTCATTCTTGCTTACATCACGTACCAACGGTTCGAACTTCGGACCCCCGGGGATTGCGATGTTAAGAGCCTTGGCGGTAAAGAATGCTTTCATGTCAAAGAGGTAGAAAAAGTTTCCGTCAGCGAGGTCCGAGAGAAGTTGATTTCCGAGGCGATATAATGTTGACTGCATTGGTAGACTCAGATTCCACTTTCTGTATGTTGAGCCATTCACAAATCTTCAAATGGAAGAAAAAAATTGTTTTTTTCTTCTAAAATTACACTGTTCAGCAGAATATAGTACTTCTTTCTATTCAGCCCTTGCAACTGAGGGTCACAACATATATTTCGACACAATTGTTGGACTTTCGCCATTTTGAGTGGCAAATGTTTAGACCCCGTTTACACGATACCGGACGAATTTGGGACCGGCCTGAAAATCGTCCTTTTCCGCCTGTTTACACGCGAATTCGTCCTGTTAGGGGGTCTCAAATTCGCCCGGTTCCGTGTTTCTCGTGTGTTTACACGGCCGAATTTCAGCCCGGTTCCAAATTCGTCCGGTACCATGTAAACAGGGTCTCGAAGATAAATACTGTAAAAACATACACAGCATCCATTAGTCATCAAAATTTCACAGGTTCACTTCGGTAGAGCACCAGTTTATCGCAAGGGTAGAGCTCCAGTTTGTAACAAACATAATATAACTTAAGCCTGATTTCCACTGTTGCGTTTTTCGTACGCACGTACACGCACGTAAAACTTTGAATCCTTCTATTTTTTTTAAATATTTTACAAATAAGTTAACAAATGGATACTAAAACTTGCGGAACACTAAATGGACGACTTACGCTTTAGAAAAATGTTTAATCTGGGAATAACAAAGGATATTTTCTGAAAGAAGTTATCAAAATTAGAAAAACTGCAAAGTTTGGTTGCGAAATATAGCCCTGCGAAGTTGGCAAATTTGTATACATTTCTATTACGTGCGGAAATTGGTAACTAATTTTGTTACCAATTCACGCACGTAATACAAAAGTATACAAATTTGCCAACTTTGAAGGGCTATATTTTCCGTATTTTACAACATTTCGCAACCAAACTTTGTAATATTACTAATTCCAAGACGCTCTTTCCAGCTGTGATGATAGATTTCGTTGTTCTCACTTAGATTAAAATTTAGTCTAAAGCGCAAGTCGTCCATTCTGTTGCTTTATTTATTTGGTTATTTCATAAGTAACATTTAAACGGATTTAAAGTTTTACGTGCAACAGTGGAAATCAGCCTTTACTGTAGATGCCTAAAATCCCTGACATCCCTGTACACCTTAGATTGGCATCACCTTTACTACAGTATAAACATATAAACATGAACTTGCAGTTAAAGCTCGACAACTGGGTGAACTGGCCTCTATAGTTCTGGGGTCGGTTGTCCAAAAGCTGGTTAGGTTAATTAACCCCTGGACGTGCAGAAATACAGAAACTAAAACAGCAAGTTAAATTTTAACCCAGGGTTAGCGCTAATTGAGCTTTGAACAACCCTGTGGAACAACCAGCCCCTGCCGAGTGTTGGTTAGAGTGCTGCACCAGAATCGCAGGGCCGCAGGTTCGATTCCTACCAGAGCCTACAGTTGCATTTTTCACAACTGTTCCTGGTTAGATCTAATGAATGTATAAAATTCACACTGACTCAAAATTTCCAGGTTTTTTGTTTGTTTTTCCAGGGGTTTTTTATTTCAAAATTTTCATTTTTTTCTTCTTCAAAACACATCAACAATAACATAACTTACTTTGTATCAACCAAAGGTTTATGGTCATAAAACCAGTCGTACACGGGTGAATCCTCGTCAGGGTCAAGGTCAATCTGGATTGCTTCCAAGGGTTCCACATCAAGAATGTTGTCTGCATAATCCAGGGGGGGTTCTTCGTCATCAAATGGAGGGAAGCGCATTCTCTTGAAATGTCGACGATCTCGCTTCTCACGTCTCATCATGATCCACATTGTTCTACCAAGGGAATTTAACAGGGGGTCAATATTACCTGATGGGTCAGGGGGTACTGGTTTTTAGGGGGGTAAAGTTTCTTTGGAGGTACAGATTTTCAGGGGGGGGGGAGGTGATGATCTTTTAAGGGAGAAAATTGTTTTGCGGGATCTTTCTTTTTTGGGCAGATGTTTCATGGGGGCAGATGTTTCATGGGTGCAGATTTTTTTAGTTGTGTGCCAATCATTCAGGGGGCAGTGTGTGCAGATTTTTAGGGGGTGTATTTTTAGGCATGAGATGTGTTTCTGAGGGGGAGGGTAGCAAAATTTTCAGCAGTATATACTTTTCAGCAAAGTAGAATTTTTCATAGGGTGTGGGAAAACAAATATTATTGGGTGGGGTGATAAGTAGAATTTTTTATTTTCAGATTGGTACATCCCATCACATCAAATTAGTAACATTTCATGTATTGGGTATAAATTTGTTGATTTGCTGAATTGTCTGGGGAGAGCATCTAACAGATTTGGCTATGGGAGTACACACCTACCCATACTTACCCCCACTGTGCAATATAAACAGGTTCCATGACCCAAGGTATTTCATTGACAAATGTTATTGCTCCAGTGACGTGATACAAAACGTTGACATCTCGGATCTGTTCCCAGGGCATTGGCATGTTCTCTAACAACTTGAGGAGTGCATGAGGCATGTACTTCAAGGCTCTAAATTAACATGAACATAGTTTAAGCATTCATAGTAAGGTGAGGTAGTTCTGGGTAAAAACCAGAGCTAAACTTTGAACACCACTACAAGTTAGACTTTAGTTTTAAAAATAATTATATTAATGGTATTACTGCCTTAATATGTATATGCGGTAAGCCATCGTTATGTGTGCTACTGTATGCACATTTTTAACATTTGAATGTTGGAAGTTTCTGAAAACTTTGAACTACCACTGCAATTTTAGAAGGCAAGCACTGCAATTCATAACAATGAGAGACATGCACTTTATACCTCCTCTGATGGTTCAGGGATGCCAAAAATTATGGTAACCAGTATCCACAAGTGGGATACTGGATTCTCAGATGGGATACTAGAACTTTGAGTCCTGGTATCCTAGTAGGGTACTGAAAAATATTAAACTTCATACCCTGCTTTCATGAAATTATTATGTACTAGATAAAACATGAGCAGCCGATCTGTATCTGATATAAAAACTTGAGCCGAAGGCGAGAGTTAGTTTGTATATCAGATAAAGATCGGATGCAAATGTTTTATTGTGCTTATAAAACGACCCACCTTATGAGTTCATTGGCGAAGTAATTTTAAAAATAAACATTGTCTAAGCTGAGAAAATTAAAGCTGAAGTTTATGTAAATCAGGACAAATCTTTATCTGATTTACAAACATTGATTAAACATTCATTTCTTTTGAATTTTCTTCATGAATTATTAACAAGTTTTATAATTATTGGTAATAAAATAATTAGGGATTATTAAATTAAATAATAAATGAAACACTGGATGGCCTTATTTTGAAGCCTGGTCTTGTCATTTTATACTTTCAATATTTTTTACCCCAAATAAACTCTCTTGTCGTGTCTATATTTCCTGCTAGACATGTCACCATGGTCGCAGATGATCTTTCTGACATGCTCAGGAGGCATGTCCTCCTTCTGTGCTGCCACAAAACCAAACTTCCTTTTCTCGCTGTAACGTTTTGACTGGAGCTGCTGCCATTTCCGAGCTAGGAAACCAGACAGAAACAGAAATGTATCAGGGATGCTGAAGTTAGCGAGCCGTAGAGTGATGCTACCTCCATAGTCTTACCTCCAGTTACAAGCCCATCTGGAAAATTCGGAGCAGGCCCGTTGCTATGGGGGGGGAGGGTGTTGGGTGTGACACTATACTCCACCCCCAACCTTAGCCTCTTCAGTACGGCCCTGAATGAGTAAATGACATCGAAAAACCTTGCCAAAACACTCTTTGAATCCGATTTGTTTACAGTCCGAGGTTATAACAGAGGAACATTTCAAAGTAAAAAAAAAAACACCAAATGTCTTTTCGTCTCTTACAAAGAATGAAATATTCTCAGATTATCCCCACAAAAATAGAAATAAATGCACCATGGACATTTTATCCCATTCCTTCCAAACTTTGCCTCAATGTTGAACAATAGTACAAGAGCAAAATCATGTTTCCGTTTTTTAATTAGTGCCATACTTTTCAAGTTATAGGCATCTGTTCATCTGTTCTACAGATGTTCTACTCAACTTGTCTACTTTATATCAAAGCAAATACAATACTTGTCAAAAAACACATTCATAATTTTGTTTTTTGATAATTTGAGTTGGGAAATATGTTTCAGAAGTCCTTGAGTTAAATAAGAAGCGTGCAATGCTCATGACGCAAAGGCCACCATAGTAACTTGCAACAACTACAGTTTTTAATTTTAAAGATGCAGAATTTTTGTTAAATTGCTAGCTCGAGCATCGATTTATCATTAATATGCACGCAAATTTTGAGCAGTAACTAAGGCTATTCCATCATGTGGAGGAACCATAAATTATAGTTATTATACGACCTGCCGTAAACCTCGACTATAAGCCCTCCCCCGAATAAGCCCGTATGTAAGCCCACCACATGTACTAACGCCACCTCATTCCACATATACCGAATATAAGTCCCCAAATTAATATAAGCCCAGTAATCGCTGCTTAATACATGCTTATTTTCCTGTTTATGACTGACTTGTTTATGTCTGACATGGTCAGACTTGTTTGTTTATACTAACACAAAAGATCGTCCATGTATTAGCACCCCCCCCCCCCCCCCTTGTATAAGCCCATCGAAAATCGCTTACGAAAGTGTAAATAAAGCCCAGAGCTTATAGTCGGAGGTTTTATACGGTATAAACCATGCAACTTGGCTCTGAGGTATATAACTACACAAGCATATATCCCCCAGTCAAAGACTGTGTTCGACTCGGGCTAACAAATATCTTTTTGCGTCCATCTATTACTTAAACATTTAACACTTTATCACCTTTCTCTTGCAACTTTTCCTCCGTGATCTCAGCACCCGGACCCATGTAGGACGCCATCTTGAATTTTTGGTCAGAAAGAAGCTTCGATATTTCTGTGCAAAAAAGCACACCAAGACACGATTGAGGCTTTATATACAGACTTTATATTGGATTTAGAAAAGAACAAAAGAACGTACCTGAAAATCAATCCATTCACAAATTATTTTGAACGAAATTTGCGCTAAACAGAACAGACGTTTCCCAAACGTGGTTTTCGAACTGAAAGTAGTCACCAGTACTTCGCACGCTTGCTCGGAATTTTTATCACGTGATCAGTTTTCGAAATTTATAGATTTTTTTATGAAAAATGAAAGAAATATTACTATTTGGCTTGCCAAAAGGAGCTTTAATAATTTGAAGTATAATATTCAGCGATAAATGAAAAGTATTTATCTATTTGAAGCGAATTATCGCTATTATTTTTTCCGTTTTGAGCAGTTCTGTGAATTTTCCAGACTTATGAAGCCCGCTATCTCACTCGACAGCGTCAGTTCTACGATGAAGACATATTACTTCATGATAAGTGAGACCAGATGGCAGATGCAACCAATGGTGCCCAAGCAGTTTAAAAAATTTTAAAATGCAATCATAATTTATTTTCAAGACCGTTATAAATACATTCGTATATTTCAAAAATTATTGTATTCAACCTAATTTTTTTGTAATGTACATACTGATTTTTTGTAACCATAAAACCATTGTTTTTCACAATAAATTTGGTCATTCATTAATTTAATATTTTTAAGGAGGTAAAGTAACTAAAGTCAGTGGCGTAACGGGAGGGTGTCAGGGTGTCCAGAGACGGGGGGCCCCCGAACTTTAGGGGCCCCCAACAAAAATGACCTTAAAAAATTTGATAGCACATTTCTGGGGAATTGAATTAATTGAATTGAATAAAAAAAACCCATTCTCTGGAAAAGGCAAAATCCGTCGAGAAATTTCCCGAAGCTGCGACGGATTAAATACGTCGCGGCTGAGGTAAAGGACGAGATACTAGAATGAATTAATTGCAATTTCATTGGGTATGTCCGGAAAAAATTTTGTACCCCTAAAATGGTACAATGTCCGAAAATTTTTTTTTGGGGGGGGGGGGGAGAGGTCGCCAAAAATAAATTGTTCCGAGAAAAAATTTTTGAGCCTATTTTTAGTGTATCAAAGGGGCCCAAAGTGGCCGATTGACGGAGGGCCCCCAGCGGTTGCATTACGCCACTGACTAAAGTACCTTAATTGGTTTTGCTATGATTTTGGTGTAACCGTCCTAGCCAGTGCGCTTATGAGAGGTATTTATCCCCCTGAAAATATTCAAAATGGTGGACGTTCAGGGGGGTGATGCCTCTCATAAACGCACTGGCTAATTAGCAATTCTCACGAAGACCAAAATCCACCATTTTTGGGATACTGTCTGCCCTAGTGAAAGATTTTAGGCAATTCAAACAACGTGAAATGCGACTTTTAAAAGTTGTAACTGTAAATTTACCATTATATAGTATAATACCAGTTTCATATTATTCTGACACTGCAATCGACCAACGAAAAATTCGTTGGCTCGAGCGGGATTTGAACTCGCATCTTTGGGTATCTAGATGCGAGTTCAAATCCCGCTCGAGCCAACGAATTTTTCGTTGGTCGATTGCAGTGTCAGAATAATATGAAACTGGTTTTTCGTATCTCTGAGGATGGTTCTGAAATAGTATAATACTCTGTGGAGACTCTCAAACGTGGCAGTACCCCAACAATGGCGGGAAAATCGGTCCTGAGTCTGAGAAAGGTTAATTGCGAACCATGGCTGGTGGCGGTTAAACTTTTTTGGTGCAACACTATTATATATAATGAAAAGAATTAACACCATCTCTGCACGATATAACAACGATTTTCGCATAGTTTCCCGAGATCATTTTTGATTGACCAAGAAGTGCTAACTGTTATAGTAATTATCAGTAGGTAGATCAGCGACGCTGCTTATATCGGGCGAATTAGGACCCCGAGTTCTGTTAAACATTCGAGTTCTGGGCTGTCTAGACCGTTTACGTCTGTGGCGCTCGACATAAATTATGAAAATGATCCAAGATATTAACATCAAAGCACCAAGAAGAAAAAAATAATACGTCAGGTCGTAATAATTGCCTTTATCCGTTTTGTGGTTAATCAGGCCAGTTACTTGGCCTAGTCCCAGCAGCCCGGAGCCCAGTAACAAACCGAAAGAGTTGATGGCAAAAAACATCGCCATTACCACACCTTGCATTGAACGTGGTGCATTGCGGTAAGCCAACTCCAGACCTAGAAAAAGTCACAAATAACACAAGTTAAATAATGCTGCAATACACCTTTCCCCTTATAACCAAAATTCTGATCTAGGCAAGTCTATACAAATATTTCATCACAGCTTGAAAGAGCATCACAAAATTAGTAATATTCCAAAGTTTCGTTGCGAAATGTTGTAAAATGAGGAAAATAGAGCCTTGCGAAATTTGCAATTTTCAGTCATTTTGCATTACAAACGGGAAATTGCAGCCCCAACACCCGAATCGGATGTCAATTTCCCATTTGTAATACAAAATGACTGAAAAACGGCAAACTTCGCAAGGCTATATTATCCGCATTTTACAAGATTTTGCAACAAAACTTTGGAATATTACTAATTTTATGATGCTATTTCAAGCTGTGATGAAATTTTTGTCTACATCGAAATTTTAGTTATAAGGGGAAAGGTCCATTTATAACATCATTTAATTTCACTATTTTACTTCTTTTCACCCTACCTCCAACATTAGCAAAAATTTCGCTAACACCAATGAGCAAATATTGTGGTATTTGATAAAAAACTGAGAGATTGGCAGCAGTGACAGTGCGTTGATTAACATCATCGTTTGTGACTGTATTATTTTTCATAAAGTCTTGCACGACAAATATCTCAACAAAGCCTGCTGCTATTATTGCAAAACACCCCACAAGGATACCTGAAATTAAGAGAAAATTTCATTTAGAACTTACACTGCTTAAATATATCTCTTTGCCTTGTTTACGATTTCTGCCAGGCAAATGTCTTTAATATGCAGAAATATTTCATGGGGAGGGAGAGAGGTTTCAAATCCTTTCAGTGATAGCTGAATAACTAACGTGCTGAAAAATGTCCATGCAGCGCGCAGCGCCAACAGCAACGCTGTCAGGAAATTATAAACAAAGTATCTTCGCAGAAAATTCTTACATCTTGCAGGAAATTGTTGTCATCTAGCTTATATACTAGAATGCCATGTAATTTACTTATTGTTTACAAAAACGTTTTCAATTCGAGATTTGTCTTGTGCCGAGTCAGCCGAGATTTAAGTTTGTCATAATCTGTGGCACCATATATTCTTTAGTTTAAATCTACATATCCAGGACGTTTTTATATTTGCGTTACACAGGAAATTTTTATTTTTGAGTTTGCTGCCAAAAAGAAAAATATATTTTCTAAGCCTGAATAACTGTATGACAAAGCTGTACCTATAATTTTTCAACCATGAAAGCATTGTTGAGCTATAAATAAAGCTATGACATTTAAGGCAAAAAAGTTTAATAAGCCAATATTTCACGAAGTGTACCCACTTAATCTCAGATTTACCAACCAATATTTTTTGAATGGGCCCCTAAGCTTACCGATGCTTATCCTTGTCAAAGGAATCATGTCATATCCTCGTTTTGTAAGCCATGGATACACAATCCTATCCATAATAGGCAGGAGAATAACAATAACAACAGCATTGAAGAGAAATAACCAGGCAGCTGGGAAGTTGTCAAAATTAGGAAGCACATTAAGATTCATGTGTATCCCTTGTTGAAGAAATGTAGCATTCATCTGATGAAAGAAAATGTGATGTTAGTGCTCATAATTTAGCATATAAATGCCTTAACCCATTAAGCACTAAACTAGCACTCTCTTCTTGATGAGTAACATTGTCTGGTGTTAGACGGAGTAAAATAGTATACAAATAATGAATGTTTATGGGTGCAATGGTAAGAATATTTTCATTCAGTGAAAGATGGAATGCTCCATTCAACGAGGCGACGGCTGAGTTGAATGGAACATTCCATCTTTCACCGAATGAAAATATTCTTACCATTGCACAAATAAACATTCATTATTTGTTTTATATAATACCAAAATAGACTAATAGATTCGTATGAGAAGCATTTTGACGGATGCGATTTATTGAAAACACAAAGAATGGAATGGAATAAAACGTATAGTACAATTGCACTCGAAAGGAGTGCAATGGAACGTATTCCATTGCACTCTAATTGGGAAATGGAATTTTCTATTCAATATCACATGACCATAAACAGCCAATTAAACAATCAGAATTCAATAAGGTATCATAATAAAAAAAGCATGGTTTATTGGGGTGCACTCATTTAATGAGTTTAATGTGCAAACCTCTCCTTGACAAGCAAATTGTCAGGGTGCAGGGAGTGTGCCCCCAACCTAGCAATGCCTAGCACCCCCCCCCCACCCCGCCCTAGAGAAGTCCAGCACCACCCTACAAAATATGCTTGACCACACATTTTCTGCTTTTCAAATAGCAATTAGCAGAACTTCTACTATTAGCATGTGCAGACTTCTTGAAATGATTTAATTGATTTGTCAGCTGCTGAGCTCACAAGAAAATACTCTAGTTAAATACTCTAGAAAATACTTTAGTTAAATATCATGGTTAAATACGTAAACATGTTGAGGTTTTTATACAGCTGTACTTTAAACAAGCAAATTTACTGCACTGTGCAACAGGAACTGTCCAGTCACACACATATGATAAACAAAAGCCGATATAAACGTTATAAACAAACAATTTGGCCATCTTAAATAATGGTAGTGTTGGCATAGTAGTGTTGCAGACTGCAGCTCCTAGGAGAGTGGGTAGTAAGGCTCCCTCATGCACCACCCCATGGAAAACATGCACCCCACCTTGCAGATGAGGCTAGATCCGCCCATGGATTAAAGTTCGGTAACAAAATCAGGTGCATTTGCGTGCACTAGAGCAACAGACAATTCCCATTATAGACTAATTTTAAAATTAGGCAATGAAACTCAAATAAATCACCACAGCTAGAACGAGCATACTAAAATTAGTAAAATTACAAAGTTTGGTTGCTAAATGTTGTAAAATGAGGAAAATATAGCCTTGTAAAGTTCGAAAATTTTGTATACTTTTGTATTGCTTGCGGAAATTCCTACACCATTCCTACCACATTTAGGCCGAAAATGTCGCACGCAATACAAAAGTATACAAAATTTGCAAACTTTGCAAGGCTATATTTTCCACATTTTACAACATTTCGCAACCAAATTTTGTAATTTTACTAATTTTAGTATGCTCTTTCTAGCTGTGGTGATTTAATTTGCATCTCCTTGCCTAGTTTTAAAATTAGTCTATAATGGGAATTGTCTATTAAGAAAACATATTGGCAGATAGTTTGGTTAATTTATTGTACATTTACACACATGAATTAAAAAGTATTTCAGCTGATTTTCAGCTGGGCTTACCTGGTTATAGATAGTCTGGTACGGTAACAAAACGATGAAAACAGGAATGATTGCAAACAAAAATCTGGTTTCATCAACTTCCCAATCAAGGAAACTTCCACCATATTTCATTCTGGCATGATCAAGCCATGACAATGGTTGTTGTAGTGTAATGGGTGAACTACATAAAATATAATAACATTTAACCCTTTAAAAGTGGCAATGCACTTTGATGCAGGCACAGGTTTCCAGGTGTGTGTGTGTGGGGGGGGGAGGGGCACACACCCCAGAAATTATTTGCACCCCTCCCCCCCGAAAGGCATTTGGCACCCCGCAAATTACATATATTTTGATTTGATAGTCTCATATTTGATTATTCTTACTACTAAATTTGTAAAATTACCAATATTATGGTCTCAAATCTCACCATGCAGGCCTAGAAAACAAATTTTGTTAAACTTTTTCCTTAGCCTTTTCAGGCGTTGCCACCACACCCCAGCCAAAGCAAGCAGCAGCACCCCCCCCCCCCCCCATATTTATCCATCCCCGAACGAAAATATGAAAATCCGTCTCTGCTTTGATGTACCCATTTTATTACTTTACTCTGTCAAATTTCAACCTCGTTCGCAGGGCATTTTCCCTCCACAGCTGCAGGTCGGCGAAGGGTCACATGACAGCCAAAATTTCTGGGAGTTTTGATATAATTTATGTGAAATCAAATCTTTGTTTGTTTATTTTGATTCTTCTTCTGATTGATGGGAACGAGTGGATTAGTATGTGAAATATAACTGGAACGATACCCTCAGATAAACTGTCCTTTCTTGAAGCCAAATCTGACCTCCAAACACGTGTGTCTTAAAGTTAAGACATTTATAACTTATATGTACTGAGACCGAGGGAAACAGAGTGTTTTGTGGCCCTGAGACTGCTGGTATACCGGTATGCCTAAGTGCTAATGGGGCCAGGGTTGGGGTAAGGGACAAAGCCCCCAATTTTGAGATTTTTGGTCTTATTATTAAGTAAGTTAATTGATTAAAATCCTCATCTTTACCCTGATTTACTGTACACTGTAGTTCAAAATCCTTGTTCCAATCATACTACTGTCATTTAATTGAACAAGCATTTAAATTTCAGGGGGGTTGCAAATTTCTCTAGGTAGGGTGAGAAAACTTTCTGAAGAGATGCAAAATATTTTTGGGGGGTGCACCCCCAGAAAATGTGTCTATGGGTTAAAGAGAAATTTCACTTGTTCTCACAGTATAATGGCAAGGAGTCATTTCAGAAATCAATAACTATGTTCTACAAATTTCCTACCTTTGATCATTTCTTTTACTGTTCCTGCGAGCTTCCTTGATAATCTGATAAACCTTTCCAACGATTCGCTGACATGGTAGCGTTTTATACCGCTTTCTCGACAGCACAAATACAATTAATGCAAGGGTGATACTCCCAAAAGACATCCCAAATCCAATAACAAAACCTTTCCACTGTTGTATGTATGCACTTATGCCTAACGCAAGTATACTACCAATATTTAGACTGAAGTAGTAAAAATTAAAATAACGTCTGGTGCTAACAGGATCCTTGTGGTCTAACTGTTCGGCTCCAAATGCTGCAATGTTGGCTTTATAAGCACCTTCACCTAATAGTGCTATTAGAATAGATCCGAATACAATTACGGCACGATACAACTGTTTCTGTATTATTTGATACTCTAAAAAGTAAGCAGACAAAACTAACAGCCCTGTGCCTAAGGTGTAAATGACGAGTCCCCAGATAATGGTTTTTAGTTTGCCGAGTTTGGCGTCGCTTATCCAGCCGCCTAAGACACAGAATAACCAGGAGAGGCCTACCAGGACCATCACACTGACAATAGCATTAATATTAGCAAAACCCGCATTTTGGTCATTTTTATTTGTTTCATTTTCGTAAACATCGTAGTTGAAAAATATAAATAAATTCACGATCAAACTGTAGTAGGTAAAGCGTTCCAGTGCCACGACGATAGTAAATGGTGCAATGTATCTGGTATTAGATGTCCTTTTAATAGCCCCTTGTCCATTACCAGATGAAACATCCCTGCTAACCTGCCGAACCAGCCTCGGCAAAATTAATGGTGTTCTGTCGGTAGCCATTTTCGTTTCTTTTCTGTTTTACGATCCAGTGACCTTTGTAGAAGATAGGATAATATTCAGTTTCATAAACAAACCTGCTTAGGTACTAAGGAGTTCGTCGTTTGTTCGTAAAAATAAGAAATCTTGCAAAACCAAGCTCCAATGCACCATTGTTTAATATGAAAATGCTGGTACACAGAATGTGAAAATAAACACAGAATGTCAGAATCACATGAGCGGAAATTTGATGTTACCACTTTTGTATTTGTAACTTTCAAATTGAGATTCCTACACGCGAATCAACCTCAAAGATCCTGGGTACGAGGTTGCACGCGAATCTGATCTACACGCGTAAAAAAGGAAAGGCTGCCTCGTGCCCAGGCGCTTACATGAAGTATTCAGGTAGGCATCCGACGCGCGAAGAAGCTGTTGGGAAGGGTGCGTTCAAGTGCACTCTTCCCATCAGCCCCTTCGCCATCTCTCCCCACTGCAATACTTCATGTAAACACGTCATATGGGCATCACTGTTTTTTTACAAAGAGACGCCTGGGTACGAGGCAGAAGGAAAGGTGTAACAAGTCTGCCAACAAGCCGTCAACAAGATGTATTCGCACTGTTTGTCACAAATTGTCAACAGGTTTGGAACAACTTGACGACAACTTGTAACAACCTTGTCGAAATTACCAGACTTGTTGCAAGGTTGTTCTGACAAGTCCGTTACATGCTTGATATAACTGCATTGTTACAACCTTGTCTTGACAACCTTGTAACATCCTTGTTATATCATGGCTGTAACAAACTTGTTAGCACAGTCTTGTAACAAGGCTGATAATGCCATCAAGCTTGTTACAAGTTGTTAACAGCTTGTTTCAAACTTGTTACGACAAACTGGGAACAAGCAATGCGAACACAACTTGTTGAAAGCTTGTGAACAGAGTTGTGACAGCTTGTTTGCAGACTTGTTACAACTTGTGCGTTTTTACGTGTGTACACACGTAAAAATCGGCCGGCTCACTTGTGGCAGGTTTGTCAAAAAGCCGTCAACAAGTTGTGTTCGCACTGCTTGTCACAAGTTGTCAACAAGTTTGGAGCAATCTGTTAACAATTTGTAACAACCTTGTTGATATTATCGGACTTGTTGCAAGGTTGTCTCAACAAGTCCGATACGTTCGTGATATAACAATATGCCGGTTGCAAGCTTGTCTCATCAACACACGTAAAAATGCACAAGTTGTTACAGGTCTGCAAACAGGTTGTTACAAATCTGTTCACAAGCTGTCGACAAGTTGTGTTCGCACTGCTTGTTCCCAGTTGTTGTAAAAAGTTTGGAACAAGCTGTTAACAACTTGTAATAAGCTTGATGGCATTATCAGACTTGTCACAAGGTTGTTCTAACAAGCCTGATACAATCATGATACAACAAGAATGTTACAAGGTTGACGACACAAGGTTGTAACAATATTGTTATATCATGACTGTATCGGACTTGTTGGAACAACCTTGTAACAAGTCTGATAATATCAACAAAGTTGTTACAAGTTGTTAACAGCTTGTTCCAAACTTGTTGACAACTTGGGACAAGCCGTACGAAGACAACTTGTTGACAGACCTGCTAGAAGATGTGAGACTTTCGCGCATGTAGGAACAAACAGTGAACCAACCGACTGCACACGTGGAAATCTCACATCTTGTAGCAAGTCTGCCAACAAGTCGTCAACAAGTTGTGTTCGCACTGCTTGTCCCAAGTTGTCAACAAGTTTGGAACAAACTGTTAACAACTTGTGACAACCTTGTTGGTATTATCAGACTTGTTACAAGGTTGTTCTAACAAGTCCGATACGATACACAAATCAGATGAAAAGCTCGATTTTGCCTTTTTACATGTAGCCAGACAGGGATTTGTGTCAGGCCCTCTTTTCCCTTCCATCCAGCCGCATTTCACAAAACTTTTTTGATACATACAAGTACAAAACCTTTATTATTGCAATTTATTGATTTTAATAGCATAAATAATGTGAATAGGTAACTTTAATGTTCCGTTTGATTAGAGAACGAATATAACTTTGCGTTGGACTTGACATAAGTGTTCAATATACAATGCGTTCCAAATGTTGCTTAAAAGTGCATAAAAACAATGGAAAATTTGACTACCTATTTGTATTTATATTACTATAATTTTCACCCAATAGATAAGTTTGGCTAACGCTAACTCAAGAAAAATTCCCACGGACAGAACATTTTCCGACTATTAGTTGAAAATTTTCATTTTCAAAATATTTTTCCTATGGAAAATTTTCCTCAGTGGAAATGGACCTTTATATTTACATCTTATTTGATGGGTATTGTGGATGGAAATTGTCCAGTGGAATTTTTTTCTTTTTGTTAGACTCTAACCAGGAACAGAAGCGAAAAATGCAATTTTAGGTCCCTGGCAGGAATTGAACCAGCGGCCGTGTGATTCCGGGGCAGAGCTCTAACCAACTCCACCAGAATCGCTGGACAGCAGGTTCGATTCCTGTCCCACTCGATAATTTCAATATACAATTGACCATTTGCGTAATAGACTAAATTTTGATCCAAACAAGTCTAGACAAAAATTCATCACAGCTTGAAAGAGCATCACAAAATTAGTAATATTCCAAAGTTTCGTTGCGAAATGTTGTAAAATGTGGAAAATATAGCCTTGCGAAGTTTGCAATTTTCAGTCATTTTAGATTACAAACGGGAAATTGACAGCCTCAAAGGCTGTCAATTTCCCATTTGTAATCTAAAATGACTAAAAAACGGCAAACTTCGCAAGGCTATATTTTCCGCATTTTACAACATTTCGCAACGAAACTTTGGAATATTACTAATTTTGTGATGCTCTTTCAAGCTGTGATGAAATTTCTGTTGAGATCAAAATTTAGTCTATTACGCAAATGGTCAATTACTTTATGGTTTCCGTGTTTGGATGGCCTGATCCAAACACGGGTTTGGACCAATCAGAGCACGCGTTATATACATGTTATTTTATAATAGGAAGTCTTCCACACATCATGCATGTCTAATACCGAGTCCTCGACGAGTATTCCCCTTTTAAATTTTTTAGTCTTTCCCCCATAATCAACCCCACACCACAGGGTTTTCACTTGTTTCCATCTACCAAACTGACATTACGTCATTTGATCAGTTTCTAAAGTTGTTTCTTTTTGGATTTTTTCATTAATTTGGTTAGGGTTAGAGTTAGAGTTGCGGTTAGGGGTTAGAGTAGGGGTGGGGTTTGGGCTAGTTACATAGCCATTTAACACCCCTTCCATCTTCCGAAAATGACGTCATGTCAGTTTGGTAGTTGGAAACAAGTGCTGACCACACCACAGTCAATCTTCAATGTCATCGTCAGTGACGGATACTAGGGGAAGTAATAACTATGCTAGTTGCATCAACATTCTCTTTCAATCATGAAAGTTCATTAGGCAAATTGTTTTAGCAGTGAAAATGTTATGATTGTCGGAATTTTCCAGCGACACGGACGGGACAATGTCGGTAACCGCTCTTAACATGTATCCCAAATGTTTGCGAAGCGTCTGTCAGTGCGTGGATTATCGAATCTATGGTTGTGTTTACCATATAACTTTACGCAGATATTGACGAGAGTGTATGTTGTTATACAACGACCAAAGCAAGGCTGGGCGGCTCTTGTCTTGAAGCTTTGCGCCATAGATAGATTGGAAATCCAAATCCAAGCAAAGATAACAACCAGAGAAATATATTGACCTGAAAACAATATATAGAAGGATTTTGAAAAGGGAGTTCTGCTATTTGAAAAGGGAGTTCTGCTATTTGAAAAGGGAGTTCTGCTATTTGAAAAGGGAGTTCTACCATTTGAAAAGGGAGTTTTGCTATTTGAAAAGGATGTTTTGCTATTTGAAAAGGGAGTTCTGCTATTTGAAAAGGGAGTTTTGCTATTTGAAAAGGGAGTTCTGCTATTTGAAAAGGGTGTTTTGCTATTTGAAAAGGGAGTTCTGCTATTTGAAAAGGGTGTTTTGCTATTTGAAAAGGGAGTTCTGCATTTGAAAAGGGAGTTCTGCTATTTGAAAAGGGAGTTCTGCTATTTGAAAAGGGAGTTCTGCCATTTGAAAAGGGAGTTTTGCCACTTGAAAAGGGGGTTCTGGCACTTATTAGACCTAACCTGTAACGGCTGGGAAAAATGCAACAACAGGCCCTCTGGGAGAAATCGAACCTGGGATTCCGGTGTAGTGTTCGAACCAACTGAGCTACAGAGAGGCCAGTTATCGAGCTCTAATCACAAGTTCATATACATATATACATAATGGGTGATGCCAATATAAGGTATGGGTAAATATCGAGATTTTGGTATCTCAAGTGAGAACGCTTATACCAACCTCAATTGTTCGTCCTCCAAACCAAACTTCCATAACGATAAACAGAGGATATTGAATTAATGAAAAGACAGCTCCTATCAGAGCTGCTAAACCCATCAATTTCCCCAAGTGATTTTGTGGAAATCTAAAAAAAAAAGCGGAAATATTGTTTAAAGTGTCACCAACGTACCCCAAATATGAATTTTGGTATGTGTAATATTTAGGTCATTCTAGAAAGGTTGTACTTACATGGCTACAAGAATGCTAGTGAACACCGTGTCGAAAGCAACTTTAACAAACACATACAGTTGAAACGTGACGATCTGAAAAATATAATTCAATCATTAGTACCATCGTATAGTACCTATACTACCAAACATAGTATACCACAACAACATAGTACAGTACCATAGTATCATAGTATAGTACTATAGTATGGAAACATAGTACCGTAGTATAGTACCATTACCATATAGTACAGGACCTCAGTACAATAGTACCATACTACAAAAGTGCCATAGTATATAGGACCATATAGTACCATAGCATAGTACCATAGTGTAGTACCACAGTACCATAGTACAGTATGGTACCATACTATAGTATCATAGTATAGTATAGTACCATATTATAGTAGTACCAAAGTATAGGACGATAGTATAGTACCATAGCATAGTACCATAGCATAGTACTATAGTATAGTACCATAGTACAGTACTATAGTATATTACCATAGAATACTCAAATGCATATTATATGCATGTTATAGTACCATACTATAGTACCATAGTTTAGCACCATAGTACCATAATTAGTACCAAAGAAAAAAAATTATATTACCTGTACAGTAAGGCTAGGTACCAGTGACAGTAGACAAAATACGACAGTGGACGAGACAGTGACCAACACTGCATCATTCAATTTAAAAATCTTCTTTCTGCTGCATTGGATTATAAAATCCATCACTTTAGGAGTGTCTTCAATATCCATCATGAATTTTTGATGCTGTTTCTCCGTGTCTTTGGAAGGTTTGACATGATCGTCTGCGTGTTGTGAACACTGACGGTCAATGATGTAGCCAAAAAGGGGAGCTATGACTATTGCTCCCATGTGACTGATGCCGAATATGTTCACGTAATGAGCAACTGAAAAAAATTTGTTGCAGGTTTTACATACAGACCTACATATTTCATAGTCACTAGTCAGTCGAGATATGATGGTCTGAAAGCTGGCAAATTTCAAAGCAACAAAATAGAAGACATTTGTTTGATGTTCGTCGTCGTTGCACGTTTTATCTCAGCTATCCCTATTGGACAATTACTCCATTATACGAAACGACAATGAGCTCAATCACCGTGACCGTGTACAAATTAGCATAAACTCCGACGGCAAAAACATAATACAATCACTTCTGTTCAGTTTCCAGACCATCGTATTTTGAAACTGTGCTTATTCGTATTTTCTTTAGTTTAAACGTTTAGGAGTCTCATACTGGACACAATTCCGTTGAACGGCTTATTGTTATTTTTAACATTGTTCAACTCTATAACAATATTAGACAGAGTAAAACAACAAATCATAGGGCACAGCAACTGCTCTCCCCCCCCCCCAAAAAAAAAAAGCCATGGAAAGCCACTTTAAAAAGTCGTGAAAATTCGGGCAATGCAAGGTAAAATCAAGAAAATTCGGTCAGATTAGTCAGAAAGTATGTTAAATTCAGGTTATTTCATCACAATCCTCCATAAAAATTCAGGCAAACTTTCAACTGTCGCCCAGAAAGCATCAGCCCCGTACGCATAGGATTGAAATGGCACAAACTGACGAGGCTTATTATTATTCCACCTCTTGATCCTTAAGCTTCAGAGCAACAAATGGTACTTAATATATCACCACGCTTACCGGTTGATCGATCTCCACCACAGAGATCAGATATAAAATTTGAGAAGGTGCCCACAAAAAACAACGTGCGAATCTTACAAACGGTAAGAAATACTTGGGCCAGGATATGAAGCTTTGACATAACACAATTCTTGAATGATATGCCAGACTTTAGATAGGAAACTGAAAGAAATACGAGAGTTAAGTATATTTGCAAGTGAAGAACCACGCGGGAATCGTATAACCGTATAATATTTTTTTATTATACGGTTTGAGAGTGAAGTGCATGGTTACAATGGCAACAATGGGTGATTCCAGCTCAGACGAAATTTTAATCTGGACATGAAGAACGAAACCCATTACCATAGCTGGAAAGAGCATCTTAAAATGAGTAAAATTGCAAAGTTTGGTTGCGAATTGTTGTAAAATGAGGAAAATTATATATATAGCCCTGTGAAGTTCGCAAAGTTTGTATATATTAGTACGCGCTGGAAAAATAACCATTTTTGAGCCGAAAGTGGTTATTTTTCCCGCGTGTAATACAAATATATACACAATTTGCGAACTTCACAGGGCTATCTTTTCTTCATTTTACAACATTTCGCAACCAAACTTTGCAATTTTACTCATTTTAAGATGCTCTTTCCAGCTATGGTAATGAGTCTCGTTCTTCTTGCCTAGATCAAAATTTAGTGAAAAGCTGGAATCACCCATTCAGAAACGATCTTCATACAAGTTCACAGGACAATAGTTTGGAGAATAATTGCAAAGACATGGAAGTAATGATGGAAGCATAATATACATCTATTTCTTTCCAAAGACGGGTTCCGTCCCCGAAAATACGTGACATAAAATACAATATAAATTTGTGGGATATATAAACCATACACCCTCATTTTCTCAAAAATATGTCCATCTCCTTTCGAGAAAACGCGCACTAATTTTACAATTCAGTTGTGTCACAAGTGTGTAAAACTGTTTCAAATTCGGTTTTTGAAAGCTAAACCTCTGGGCAAATTAGGAAATAATATTATGTTGCGGAAATATTTGACAATGTCGATGTTTCCTCAGACGTTTTCTTCTCCGAAACCTTCTGGAAATCGTCATCAAACCATCGTTTGGGAAATAACGATATTCAGGAAAACAATATGTCCTGGTTTTCCCACTTTTGGAAAATGACTTGAACGGTTAAAAAATTTCAAAGAACTAAGAGTTCCAGGAAGAAAAGGTCGCTACATATTGGCAACCTACATTCAGTGACAAAACATCTCCTCCTCCCCCCTTTCAATGTTGTTTGGGCAAAGATGTGCGCAAAATGTTGCTTGCCAACGACCAAGGGTGGGTGGGTGGGTGGGTGAGTGGGAGATGGTGTTACTACGTTGAACCAGGGGCGGCGGAACAGATTTCATTTGGGGGGGGGCTACATTTTTTTCCCGTGACCCCCCCCCCCCCAGTGGTCAGTGTACCATTTACCGTTTTTTGGTCAGTGTACCATTTTAGGGGTACAAAATTTTTTCCGGACATATACAAGAAGGGATGAAAAAATTTTTTCCTGACCCATAACAAAAAATTTGTTCCGGACATACACAATTTTAAACAAAATATTGCAAATTTTTCCCATTATAGCTAAATCTTCAAAAAGCACCCTAAAGTTTTCCTTAATTATCAAAATTTTACCAGAAAAAACAAAATTTTCTGGGGGGGGGGGGCTGTTCCGCCGCCCCTGCGTTGAACAGTATTTCGAAATGTGCAGTTATGTATATAGTATATCACTGTCCAAAAGCTTTTTGTCATTGATTGAATATTTGCCCCCCCCCTCCCAAAAACAAGTGTCCGCCTTGAAAATGAATGTTTCCACACCAGGGTTTCCCGTTTTGCCCTGGGCTTGGCGTACTTTATCCCGGTGTTTCTACAGGCTTTGACTAATTGGCAGAAGAATTTAAGATTACAACAACTGTCAAAACCAACCCGCAGAAATAGCAGTCCACACTTGAATATCTGCGGATCTATCGAAAGAAAGCACATGAGCATTTGTTACACCACACCAACTCATCACAGTGTTACGTTGCAATGCAATAGGCTGGTCGCAGGCGAGCAGATTAAGTAGCTACTTGCAGCTAAGACTGGATTAAACTATCAAAGTTTCTGTAGAGTGGGGATTTTGCATAGGCGAATTCGAAGTTTTGAAAGATTTGTAAGAAATGTTTAAGGGAACTGACTCATGTCTTCACACTCACTCAGTTCACTCAAATATTTTTTTACAAATCCTTCAAAACTTAGAATTTATAAATCATATAATAAAATTTTGGTGGGTCTAATCCCCTTTTCAAAGTTGGGAAGGGTTAGACCTCTAGCCCCCTGATCAGCCGCCTATGTACTTAATCTTTCACCTGACCAAACATTGCAAAACAAAGCATATTTACATGATTCCTACATACAAATGCTGCCCTCTATTCTAGGGAAATGCTTAAATCGCTTTCCAATTGAAGTCCTCTAAAGAAAAAGTCATGTTAGTTTGTGGTTACAGGACCGTTCTTGCAGGCTGCATCAGAACAAGTCCTCAGGAGGCGCTATTCTATACGATATATAAGCTGCTGTGGTTGTTGTCTGGACCATTTGAAAAACAGCCCCGTTTACACCACGCTCAATTTTTGGTACGGCACGGATAAAATTGGTACCCGTACCACTTTTTTGGTTCTTGGACTACCTATTTAGGCTAAGCCCCGTTTACACTACGCTCAATTTTTGGTACCGTGCCACTTTTTGGTTCTTGGACTACCTAAATATTAGCTAAGCCCCGTTTACACTACGCTCAATTTTTGGTACCGTGCCACTTTTTGGTTCTTGGACTACCTAAATAGGTAGTCCAAGAACCAAAAAAGTGGTACGGGTACCAATTTTATCCGTGCCGTACCAAAAATTGAGAGTAGTGTAAATTTTAAAAATACTTCGATATTTCGGCGAAGAAGGCACTATGCACCAGATAAAAGTACTGCCAATGCAACTCCTGGGAATGGTTGTTGGAAAGCCGACTAACTTCATCCCATAACTCTAAGGTTAATATAGAACATCAAACTAAACTTCCCAACGGTATGTTTGTAAACTTGGAAGTGTTTGTTACGAAATCAGGTGCGGTTTAGTAGACGTTTTGTTTTCTGAAGTGGGTTAAATTTCATCCCAGAGTTAACGCTAATCGTCGTAGAAATATCGAGTATTTTTATCCTTTTCATGTGGTTCAAACACAGATGCAGGCAACAACTTGTCCCAAGCAATGTCATCACAACAACATGTGAGGAAAAAGGCCGAGACTGCTCAATTTCCATGTGAATGGGGCGGGTAGCTACTTGTCTTTGGGTTCGAAATGGAAGCTGCGCAGCGCGCTCTATATAGGTTAATTTTCTACTTGCACTTAAAACTATCCCTGTGAGAAGGGTCAGCCCCTTATGTAGGCCTCATGTAAACACTTCAAGGTGTAACACTGGTTCCTGTTTTAAACAAACCTGAAAACGAAGAATGAGAAAGACAGTAACCACAAATTCCTCCAATTTGTGCATCGTGAACTGTTGATTTGCAGTTGCTCGCAAGAGATTTACAATAATACCTTTAGCACTGGGCATGACATTTCAAACGCATTGATCCAGCGTATAGTATACTACACGAAACTGAGGTAGTTTACGTATGAACTAACTGAAAAAAGATTTAAAAACACTTCAAAATTTTCAACTTTTAACAATGATATTTTCGAAACATTTTCTGTTCGTGGAAATTTTTCTTGAGTCGAAATGGGTCTTAAGCCCCGGGAACAAAACGTCGGATGGCAATCACGCAGGAAAGACTGCCTCGTGGAATATCACCTTAACCTCCCGACAAACGGCATTTCCTTGAAAAATGTCGAAGTGTTTTTAAACAAAATTTCTCCAAGTAGTTTATACACAAACCACGGCAGCTTACTTTGACATTTAGGAATGTTATTGACCTACCTGTTATCCAGAGGTTTTTGATCACTTTTCAGCAGAATTTCCTCGTCTCTTTTTGGACAATCTTGCTGGGCAACTGTCGTTGTTTTCGGCTCACTCTTTGGGTCAGCATTCTGACCGGCAATGTGAACCTTGCATAATTGTTCATTGTCTTTTGAGCCAGAGCACGAGCTCAATGTGGGACACTCTGCGTAAGTAACTCGCTTGATATCACGACATTGTCCGAGAATGCTAGATGTTGGATCCTGTCTTTCTGAGAGATCTAGCATGGTCTTTGTGCTTGTCAACTGTATGGCATTCGAACTGGTTTTACCAAAAACATTACATATCTGCCTAGATGATTCACTGTACGTATTGTCTGTTTCTACGCTAGAATTCAAGTCCGTAGCTGTCTTAGAATTTGATATGTGGTTTGGTATTAATTGATTCCACTCATCAGAACCTTGATCAGCTTTTGCCGAGTTGTCAAATGAAGTCTCTTTTCTGCCGTTGATCATGTGCCCAAGGCAAAGTTTGCATTTTTGAAGTTCTTCTTTGAAACAAGAGTGCTTGGCTTTTTTGAACGGTTTTTGTTCGACAATTTGTTTGCTTTCCGATTTTTCTTCTCGTGGCGGGATGGCGGTGTCGGGATAAAGGAGGGCAGCATTGACACATAGGAAGACGCAACCGACGGCTAGGAATCGGAAAAAGTACGCGATACTCACACCACCGTTTTCGTACAAGACCTAGAGAAAGAAAGAAGTGAGGTGTGAGGGGCACCGTAGAATATGTGGACTACGGAGAGAGAGGAAGAGAAGAGGGAAGGTGTTGGGGAGAGGGGAAGGTGTGGGGGAGAGGGGAAGGGGTGGGGGGGAGTGGGGAAAGTGTGGGGGAGGGAAGGGGTTCGTACCGGAGGGGTTGGTATAGATCATGAACTTAATCCACATCTAACCTCTAACCTAACCACAACTCAACTTAATCAACAAGCCGGGTCTAAATAACATGTTGAATTTGCAGGTTGGTGGTTAGGATTTGGAGTTTTGGTTAAGATGAAGACCTAGGTTTTATTGCCTAAAACAACATAAAAATATCCACAATCCATCTTTATCTCATCAACCTGCACCAACCCGCTTGCAACCTGGAATTTAGGCCCTCCGCCTAAATAATTGACATACCTTAAAGCCGAGAAAAGCAAGTGAAGATGCAACCCAGGCACCACAGTATAGTCCAATGAGCGTGGAACGACCTTTCTTGAACCTCTGCATACACTGCAATTACAGAATTCACAATTGATAAGCGCACCGCAAGCAAGCTCGTTATTCCTGAAACATTCGTTAAGACAATTTGGAAAAAGGAAGCAACAGTTTCTTCCTATTTCGACTATTTTGATTCGCGCCGCTCTTCCCTTTAATCATGTGGCCGATTTTTAATGAAGTGCAATCCGCCCGATTTTTAAGTACAAACTGCCCGACCAAAAAAATATTGGGTGGGGGAAGGGGCGGGGACTGCAGCCCCCCCTCCCAATAATTTTGTTTAGGTTTCCTCCTGTAGAAACACTGGAACATCAAGGGATAATGTTCACTGGAATGTTACGGATTTATAGGGAGAACAATTTAAACCGAGATTTAAACAGTTATTCAGTATAAATAAAAAATAAGTCATGAGGAAGTTCTTCTGCGTGATTCAGGAAGTGACACGTATGACTCAGCTCTGGCAAGAATTTTTTTTTACATATATTTTGTATATTAAGATCATCATGTAGGTCTCATAAAACAGCCCCTCAAGGAATGAATTTCGACACGTACAAACTATTGCATGGATAAATAAACAATGTTCATAATTATATTCGATTTCACATAATGTTCATCATTTCTAAAGATTCCAAAGTCCGATTACTAAAAAACCTGTTTTCACCACCATTCCTCAAATAACAGACAACGCACGTCAGAGCCGCAAGGTAAAGTTCACGTGGCAGAGGTGAACAGGTGAAATGAATGAATAGGCAGGGTTAGTCTCCCATGGTTATAAATACAGGTGTTGACATGTGGACAGGTGAACGGCGCTGTGTAAACACCAACCCGTCTGACCAGAAATATGTTGTGGTTATGTAAGTGGAAATATATCCAGATCTTATATTGGATGAGTGCGATTACCGGAGGAAACTAATTACACTTGTCATTTTTTGCTGAGATTTTTAGTGCGATTCTCTTCTGCTGACACACAGCTACTATTAATTCCTAATTGGAGATTTTCTCGAAGATTTACTAACTTAATTATCATCAGTATCACAACTTGAAAAGTAATGATATTCGCCACCTACATCATTTGATTTACAAATAGGAAAAGTAGATGAGTTGTGAATGATCAGTTGGATGAACAGAATGTCGTGTGAGACTCTGTAATGTTTTAGAAGCATTCTTCAATCAAACTCACATGTGACTGGGTAAAATTTAAAGGCCACATAAAAAAAAAATAGTTGGTTAGCGTCCTCGCCCGCCCACAAAAAAGGCCCCGCTCAAGATTTTTTTATTTTTTATTTAAAAAAACCAACGGGCTCTAATATATGTAGTATTTCTGTTGACTGTAATCAATTGTGTTAGTAAGTTGCGAAATTGCGTGCGAAAATGACGGTATGAATCATATTTTGAAATATATAAAAAAATATCTGTACTGTGCAAGAAAATCCAGTTTCGGAACTAAAACCAAGGCGTTAAAAATAGGTAAAAATTTTGACAAAAGCTAAGGACGCTAACCAACTATTTTTTTTAGGCTTGTGTGATGTTACTCTGAGTGTATATCCACACCGGGCAGGCTTGAAAAATATGCCTGGCCACGGTGGGATTCGAACCTACGACCTTTGGAATACTAGCCCAATGCTCTACACTCAGAGTAACATCACACAAGCATCTTATTCACCTGAGTACATTACACCAACACAGCAAATATTTTTTTTTATGTGGCCTTATAGGTGAAATTTATTAATGAGACAACTGCATATTGACAGGTAGGAATCAAACTATGCAGGTCGTAAATTATCTTTTTAAATATACTATGGCTATTCAACTATTGAAGACAAGACTATTATGAACTTGTCTGCCCAATACTGTTACAACATTTTAGCAGTTTTTTAAAGTTTAAATTAGGTTATTTGAAAAGTTGTTATATTTTTGTGAGTAATGGAGTGATAGATTTTTATGTATGTATCTTAATATACCAAAACTGGTATTTTTGTTGATTAAATATATATAAAATATACATGTAAATGCGAAAGCCACATTCACTGACAACCCATGTGTCAAAGCTCAAGTGTACGTTCATCAACTGTTCATGTCATTGCAAGGCAGTGTGCAAGGTAGTATAATTTGTTCCGCATACAACTCGCATCTTTCATGCTCAGACAAGGATTTGCATTAATCCCCTCGGGTTATCGCGCTCTCGTGCTGTTTCCGTTCGCCGTAATGGTATTTTATAATAATACCTTCATATTGCGCAAACACTGCCCTTGCGCGCTTCGCAAGGTCACGGCGTTTGTGTAAACAGCAGTCATTAACATTTGTCGCGCGCTTAATTAAACCGCGTGCGTCAGAGCACGGAATTGGCAAAATTATTCAATGCATTGAATCTGTTAATTTGGAAATCCAAGCCGAAATCCACTGAGAGTTGCAACTCTTGCTCGCGTTTAACCGTCAGCTCTCATTAACTCTCATGGGCCTCATGCACTCATGACTCACCAAATCGTATCAATTTTTAGCTAATTTTTGCTCGTTTGATGTTACGTTTCATCAATTCTCATGCAACTCTTGTTCTCGTTTGACCGGGGTATTTCGAGTTGAGAAAATTCTCGTGCAAACTCTCGCTTGCCAACTCTCATCCTCGTTTTCACCAGGGCTTTGCTAGTCGTCATCTTTGATACGAAAAGTGGCTCATCTGTCAACTGTGGCTGGAATACAAAAACAGGCTTTCTTACCGCTTGCGGTGTCATGAACATCATAATATTTGCAATGCAAGCCACGATCAGACCAACGAATAAGATACCAGGGTTCTCTGAAAAAAACAGAAATGCGAGAGGTGAATTACTCGAAAAATCCAGAAATAAAAAAATCTTCCGAAAAATCTTGGAATCCTGCCAAAATGTAGAAATTCCTAAAATCCCAAATCTTCCTATAAAATCACTAAAAATCCCACAAAATAGCTAAAACAGAAAAATCTCAAAATTTCTTAGAAAATGCGCATAAACCCTTTCAAGATCCAAAAATATGGTTACTATAGTATACAGAAGCACTTACCTTTATTAAGATAGGAAAGTAGAAAGCTGGAAAAACCGAGCAAAAACCTGGAAGAATATAATAAGGTTAGTTATACTAATGCAAGATAAAAACGATTTGATCTGCAGTAATAAGATCCCAGACGCAGAACAGAGCCTGAAATATACCGGTCGGACATCGGACAGTCCCCGAAATGAAATGTCCATCCATATTCGAAAAATTCTGGTCGGACATTTTTCTGCAACCGTTTGAACGTTATTTCAGTTCAAAACCTTTGACTTTAGTCTGACTGTAGGCCATTCAACACAAGTACGCATAGAAATTCCACAGGCTCAAATACCATGTATATTATAGACATATGGGGAAATTTCATAGAACCGTAAATAAAATTGCTACTATCTACATTTATCTGTCAACAGAAACGAAGATTAAATTTGCGGGTGGCCCACTGCGATTCTGCGTTCTTTTACCGTCTTATTCCGCGTTCGCACTTCCGTTTTCATTCCGTAATTCCGCATTCGCGTTTTATTCCAACCGTACTTAAACAGGATCATCATCCTTCGTGCATACATTACATGGCAGATATACAATTGGTCAAAACCAGTCAAGCATGCTAGTCAGGCAACCCAGTTATAAAGGGGAAATACCCGCATTAAAATTCACATCAAATTCAATTGTGTCCTTTTTCAACGTGGAATCATTGAGCTATATTTAACTGGAAAGTGTTTTGTGCGGTGCGCAATTCAACCGGCGGCCACGCTGACCTCATAAAGACCTGGAGTGCTACTTTTAGATCAGATTTCGAAATTAAAGACATTAAAGGCAGAAGGCCCATCTACAGGCGTATGTTCATGCTCGAATGAATGCGTGTAAAGATGTCACATGTCAAATTTCGCCATAAATTGATCTGAACATGAATAGTGGCGTCAGCAGTCATTTTCATATGCCAGAATGACAATTAGAATCGACTAGTCGTACCCGTGGGAGTGGGCCTTGACAGCACCAGTACATGAAACGATTGGCAGTAAGATTTAGCTCTTCATTGGACCTCAAGAGACCAGTTTAGAAGTGATATAGTTAACCAGTATAAACTGCAGTTAGTTTTAGTTTGGTGATTACGCAAGATCGAGCCTTCACGATGAAACGGAAAACTACTTGAAAATGTAAACGATTCTTGCAGTATTTATACATTTCAATAGACCAAGCAAAACATTTTGGCCACCCGTGTGACATGTCATGTGGAGAACGCCAAAACAGTTTGAAATAGATGGACACTGTTAGTCTGGTGGTGACAAAAAAACACCAGAAAACTGTAAGATGGGTAGGGATTCAAAATTACAAGTAAAACTTCGACGTTTCGTGCGAAGGCGCCCGAACCGGCAGGGGCGAAACTACTGGGGGGGGGGGGGTAACACCCCAAGTCTTTCTATTTCGTTGGGTATATCCATACAAATTCGTCGGGCCAATTTTGAAAATATTTGAGTGTCTCGTCCGGAAATTTTTTTGTGCTACGTCCGGAAATTTTTTTCGGTGCCACCCCTGGGCGTAAAAAATGACCGCGCCCTAACAATTCTCGTCCCCAGAGGCCATTTTCACTCGGTCAGTCGTTGAAAATTAGGCTCTGGGTTAGAGGACTATAGGGAGAGTTCTGATTGGCTTCTCAGAGAACTGCTATTTCCCAAAATTATTCTATCAAAATATGTCAACACAAATACTTCGTTTCTTCGTAATACTTCTTTGTGAAAATTGTTACGGGTCCTAAAGCGTCCCAATTCAAGAGCATGCGCTTTAGAAATTACTGCACTTTTCTTGTACTTCCCCTTCCGTGTATCCCAGGGCCTATGAAGGTTGCACGTGGCCGAGAGGCCCTGAGAACGAGATTGCTCCTTGCTACTCGAGTATTGTGCCCAGGCCAAGGACTTTCATACGTGTCAGAACTATTTTTCTCGAAATGTTTCTTAGACTTAACCTTGTCTTTCAAAGCCCACACGACGGAAACCTTCAACCAACGTTGACTTTGTTCCGAACCGTTTTGACAGCTTGAATGATATTTGGCCTGTTGACCTTGCTTGAGACTCGGCATAAGGCCGCTTGAACGTCCTTAGAATCTTACTAGAAGTTCCTAAGTAGATGTTTTTTAAGGTGGATTAGTAATTTTGCTTTGCCGAACTAATGTAAGACTGATGAGTGAATGAAATTTTACTTTTATGAAGTAAATCTATTAAACTAAAAATTGTAAGTTGCATTGCGTTTTATTCTGTCTAACGCCTGACGAATTCACTGTTTAAGGGTCCAGTGCTGCGCTCAAAGGGTTAACATATAAAGTTAAATGCCTGGTTTAATACCGCTGTTCCACACTATATACATTTTCAGAATAGTGGTAACTGGACATGCCAGTCATCCAGTAATCAATTAATTGATTCGGAACTGGCAGATTACATGATTTTAAACTCATTAACTTTTTTCAAATTTGTAAGATGCTGAAAGGAGTGTTTGATTTGCATATAAATGAGACTATGAGAGATTTCATTTCAGGATGAAATTGACAATGATTTCCGATGTCGGTATATCCTTCAAAAATGTTGGATGATATTGTGGTTGAAACAAAAATTACACCCTCTGTGCATTAGAACGAGCTGGCAGCAAATACAACGAGTCAAATGGTAAAATATTTTGCAAATAAACTCTTAGGATTCACGATCAATAGACTGCAGTGTCAATGGCCTTACAATGATGTATCGAATTAGTTATAATCTTATCAAGTTATTGATTTTAATACCGATAAACTACTTTAATACCACAGAAACTAGAACACGTGGCAGCCTTCCTTTGAAATTTCAGATCCCGAAAGCGAATGAAGATAGTTTTACAGTAAATGTTCTTAAGGCCCAGTGTAAGATTAGCTTTGCTAAACTGGTTTTTGTAATACCTTCTTTAAATAAAGTCTATTATTATTATTATTGCCTGAACATATCATTTTATCAAATTCTCTCGAAGTATGTTTGCAATCGGGCTCAAGATCAAAGAGAAATATATTCAGTCAGGAAACATGGGAATATAAGCTAAACAGGCAAACATCGAAACGATCGAGTCTATTGTCTAAAATCTATGCCTGACAGCTTGAGTGAAGGATTTCAAACCTGAACCAAAAATACAATAAAAATGCAAAATTTTACGTCGTTTTCAAAGTGTTTACTTTTCAGATCGTACTCCTATATAACATATGAAATGTTCACAGAATAGCATAGCATAACCTGCGTAATAGAAGCTTGGCTACTGCGCCTGCTAATTTGCCACGCATTACGTTACTGCCGAAAGTGGAAAAAGCTCCCAAGTGCCTATTTTAGTATATTCTGGGTAAAATATCCGTCAACGCCTAAGCTATTATTATTACCTTTTTCGCACTTGTGCAGGTTAAGTGTTTGTTCACGTTGTGCGTCATCAATATTAAATCGCCATTATCAGCCTTGTCCCAGATGACCTTCAACTTGAGAGCTTACAAAATATCGCTGAACTTGGCCTTGGCATTGCATTTTATGGAAGCTTAGAGATATTTCCGTTAGTGTAGGTCAGTGTAAGGAAATACAATTCAGCCACATTGATACGTAAATATATATATTTAGTAAACATAATTACATGGCCTTCGTTTCTCGAGAGTGTCCCTATATGTCGTGTGTCGTG